CTTTCTAAAGGAAATACTTGTATTGTGACATAGACGTGAGATAAAGCGCCATTTTAACCTTTGCTTTGTTTGTTTATTGTTTTGATTTTTGGTTTTTTGAGACAGGGTTTCTCTGTAGCTTTGGGGCCTGCCCTGGAACAAGCTCTTGTAGACCAGACTGGTCTCGAACTCACAGAGATTCACCTGCCTCTGCCTCCTGAGTGCTGGGATTAAAGGTATGCACCACCACCGCCCAGCTCATTTTAACGTGTGTGTGTGTGTGTGTGTGTGTGTGTGTGTGTGTGTGTTGTGTGTAGTTTTTCAAGACATGGTTTCTCTGTGTAGCCCTGGCTGTCCTGGAACTGTAGACCAGGCAGGCCTCAAACTCACAGAGATCTGCCTGTTTGTCTCCTAATTGCTGGGATTAATGCCACCTCCACCTGGCATCATTTTAACCTTTTAAGGCAGTGCTTAGCGTAGCCATCATGTTATATAACCATAGCTACTATCTAGTTCCAGAACGTTTCATCAGCCCGAAAGGAAATCCTACATTCCTTGAACAGTCTCTCCTCATCCCCACTGCCTTCAGCTTCAGCAAACCCCTGCTCTACCTGATTTCTCTCCTGAGCAGTTCACGTAACTGGAACGACACCTGACCTGAGGCTGGGCTCTCTTAACTCAGCGCGTTTCCGAGGCTCATCTGCATTCCAGCATCTACTGATGCATTCCTTTTATTGCCCTTATTTTTTTTTTTACTTTCTTTTTATTTGTTCTTTGTGTCTTTCACATCACACCTTCTGATCTCACCCATTTCCTGCCACTTCCCCCCCAAAAAAAATAAGAAAAAAGAAAAAGGGAAAGGGGAAAAAGAAAGAAAGGAAGGAAAAACTTCATCCTGGAACTGTTGTGTGACCCTGAGAGTCACACAGTAAAACCTTTATCCACACGGTTTTCTTGTTTGTTTTGCTTTTTGTTTTTCAGGACAGGGTTTCTCTGTGTAGCTTTGGAGCCTGTCCTGGAACATATAACAGAATATAACAGAAAAGACCCTGTCTTAAAAACAAAAACTCCCAAAATGTCACCCAAGCAACACCATCCTACCTTCCCCTCGAAGTGTCCCAATCTTCATCTCCATCCTTATCAGTACTACTGTTTTTTGTTATAAACAAACTAGTAGCAATGAAGTGGTCATCTTACTGTGAAAAGACACAATTCTTTATTTGCAGTGCTGGCCTTAGAACCTAGGACCTCATGGGTGCTAAGCCCTTTATCACTAAGAGTGGTACCTTACTGTGCTCTGATTTGCTTTTCCCTAATGGCATTGTGTAGCCTTTCATGTGCTTTTATATGGCTTCTTTGGTGAAACATCAATTCAAGGGCAGGTAATGAGTGATCTGTCCCTTTAATACCTGCACTCAAGTGACAGGCGCAATGGATCTTTATGGGTTCAAGGCCAACCTAGTTCACACAACGAGTCTGAGGCCAGCCATGGCTACACTAAATAAATGTCTACTCACATATTTTGTCCCTTTTCAGATTGAATTGTCTTTTGTTGTTGAGTGATTAAATCATCTTTAATTTGAAAGACTTTTGAAAAAAGATATTTCAATATTACAAGAGTGGAACATTGGCATAAGGTCAACAATCAGACATGATTCCTATATTATATATTATATAGAGCCCTCTGGGCTCTAACCCTGCTTGTTCTGGGTTAGATTGTATCTCAGACCATTTGAGTACACAATGAGATACCATAAACTAGGTTGCTGATAGACGACAGAAGTTCACTGCACAGTTTTAGAGACTGCAAAAGTCCATGATCAAGGCACTGGAACATACAGTGTCAGATAGGCAGGTGCAGTGTCAGATGGGCAGGTGCAGTGTCAGACCAGACAGGTGCGGTGTCAGATAGGCAGGTACAGTGTCAGACCAGACAGGTGCAGTGTCAGATAGGCAGGTGCAGTGTCAGATAGGCAGGTGCAGTGTCAGATAGGCAGGTGCAGTGTCAGACCAGTCAGGTGCAGTGTCAGACCAGGCAGGTGCAGTGTCAGATAGGCAGGTGCAGTGTCAGATAGGCAGGTGCAGTGTCAGATAGGCAGGTGCAGTGTCAGATAGGCAGGTACAGTGTCAGACCAGACAGGTGCGGTGTCAGATAGGCAGGTGCAGTGTCAGATAGGCATGTGCACTGTCAGACCAGGCAGGTGCAGTGTCAGACCAGGCATGTGCGGTGTCAGATAGGCAGGTGCAGTATCAGACTATTTCATTTCCCTATTCCATTGCCACTGTCCTGTGTCCTCACAGTGTCTAGAGAACTCCTTAATAAAGGCACTAATCTCAGTGCCTTAGTACCAAAGCCTCCCTCCCCCCTTGTTAATGTGAGCTAGAGGGGCGCTAAGATTTCAACACAGGAAGTCTGGAAGGGCGTAAACATTTCAACTACAGTGGGTTGTGACCCCTCAGAACGCCTATGCTGAAGTCCTAAGCTTCAGTGCCCTCGAATATGACCTTACTTAGAAACGAGGTTGCTACCGACGTAATTCCCGAGGTCACTCTGCGGGAGGGCAGAACCTAAGCCAATGCCACTGTGGCCTTTTTCCACCAGGCATGTGAGGACAGAAGCACACAGCGAGAACACTTATTATGACAAAGTCGGAAACTGGAATTACGCTGAAGGAGCCAAGAGTTTCGGTAAACAACCAGAAGCTAGGGAGAGGTCAGGGGAGATTCGCGGGAGGTTTTTCAGTGGGAGCGCAGCCCTGCTGACAGCTTGATTTCTGGCTTCTAGCCTCCAGAACTGTCAGGGATAAGTTTGTCCTCTGATTGCAACAGCAGCCGTAGGAAACCAATGCACCGCTGCTTGTGGGTGATGCATAAAGAGCAGTGCAGCAACACCAACGGCTGCAGTTGGAGGGTTGCTCTGTGGCAAGCTGTGTTCAGTGTTTGGGCCCATTCGATATTCCTTGAGATTGCCTATAAGGGGGATTCTGTAATCCCTACCCTGTATTTAGGAAAACTGAAACAGAATGGTTGAGCAAGTTCCCCAAGCTTACAAAGCTGGCTAAATGACAGAGATAAAAATTTTGTGTGCAGGTTTGCCTTCAAGCTCTAATGCGCCTACCCAATACACTGTGCAACTGCTATATAGATATTCTGAAAAGTTCAGAGGATACATGAATGGATGTGTCTGTCAGTCTGGGCTCAGAAAGTGAGAGCGATGAAGCAGAGAGGAGGCCAGGATGACTGCGAGGTGTCTGGTCAGCTGACTCAGAGAGGAACCATGAACCTACTGTAATGTGTTTTGAACAGATGAGGCAGCAATTTGTCCAATTGTTGGACAAATGGGTCCGGGACATTAGAGGGCTGTGGGGCCATCAATACACCTAGCTGCAGGGGTTAGGATACTGTCACGGGAGCAGAGTGCATAGGAGGAGAAATACAGACTTCTAAAATGAGTCCTAGGAAACCCTGGATGCTGGGGATTAGTGGAGGAAAGGGCCTTTCGGTTCTAACACATTCTGTCATGGACGTACAAAAGTCAGGTCATGGTGGGTTGAGGGGTGAACAGAAGACTAGCCAAAGGATAGGCATGCTGCTACAGCTGGGGGGGGAGTGGGGGGAATGATGGGGTGTGGCCAGAGAGCTGCAGAGATAATGAAATAAGGGGATCATGGAACCAGCGTCCACCACTGTTCACCCAATTTCAGAAAAAGTTCAACCTGGTTAGATAAAGCCAATATTAAAAATTAAGTTGTATGGGGGCTGGAGAGATGGCTCAGTAGTTAAGAGCATTTCCTGCTCTTCCAAAGGTCCTGAGTTCAATTCCCGGCAACCACATGGTAGCTCTATAATGAGGTCTGGTGCCTCATTATATACATAACAAATAAATAAAAAAAATATTTAAAAAAAAATTAAGTTGTATGTCTGGATATGGTGGTACACACCTTTAATTCCAACATCCAGGAGGCAAAAGCAGATCTCTTGAGTTCAAGGCCAGCCTGATCTACAGAGTGAGTTTCAGGCCAGTCAGGGTTAACACGGTTGATACCGTCATAAAAAAAATGTTGTAGAGCCAGGCGGTGGTGGCACACACCTTTAATTCCAGCACTTGGGAGGCAGAGGCAGGTGGATCTCTGTGAGTTCGAGGCTAGCCTGGTCTACAAGAGCTAGTTCCGGGACAGGCTCCAAAGTTACAAAGAAACTCTGTCTTTAAAAACCAAAACAAAAAAAAATGTAGAAACTAAAAAATTTGTAAGTTTTTGAAATTCATGTTTCTAATTATTTTACTACTCTATGTTCTTTCTTTACTTAAGAAAGGATTTCTCCATTGTGTAGCCTTGGCTGTCCTGAAACTCACTCTGTAGACCAGGCTGGCCTAGAACTCAAAGAGATCCACCTGCCTCTTTCTCCCAAGTATTGGGATTAAAAGTATGTACCACCACACCCAGCCATACAACTGTGTTCTATTTTTTTTTAACATTTATTGTGTGTGTGAGGGGGTGGTAGTTTGAATGTAATTGGTCCCCATAAGCTCATAAGGAGTAACATTATTAGAAGGTGTGGCTTTGTTGAAGGAAGTGTGTCACTGTGGGGGCGGGCTTTAAGGTTGTCTATGCTCAGGAAACTGCCCAGTGTCTCAGTTGGCTTCCTGTTGCCCACATGATGGAGGAGTCTCAGCTACTCCTCCAGCACCATGTCTACCATCACATCGCCATGCATGCCATGTGTGACAGTCAGAGGACAACTTGGGGCGTTCAGTTCTCTTCTTTGACTACGCGGCTCCCAGGGATCAGGGAGTCACTGTGTGGGTGCTGGGAATTGAACTAAGGACCTCTGGAACAGTCGCCAGGACTCTTAACCACTGAGCCATCTTTCCAGCCCCAATGAATGAGATTTTAATATTGTCTTCACTGTTTTACTTCTGGGCCTTCAAGAGAAGAGAAAAGTCAACATTCGTCTTGGCTTTGCCAGTCACAACCACATACTGGTTAGAACACGAGGATTCTGTGGAGTCAATTCCATCAATTCCATGATGAATACTTCACGTGCTATTGCTGTAAACAGTGTTCTTGTGTGAGTATACATGCACATGTGTGGATCTGTGTATTTATCCACAAAACTGCTTTCCCTTAGACGTTGGCAAGCTTCCTGACTCCCTAAGAGGCACAGTGGTTTCACATCCACCATCAGGTGTTAAGGCTTTCAGTAGTGAGAGGCTACAAGTGACTGAATTCACAGGCTAAATCAATTGTTTGAGGTGGGATCAAGGAACTCTGTTTGCTGTGTGATGGGGAGAGCAGCAGGGACCAGAGACCGTGGGGTGGGAATGACAACCTGTAGGGCACAGTCAAAACTGTTTTATTCAAGATGGGGGAAAAAAAAAGTCTGAACATAAACATGGTGAACTGACCCATCAGTTCCCACTGCCCTTTAGTGCATGGGTCATGGGAGAATGAGTAGCCTCCGTCTTTTAGGTTACAGAGAAAGTTGTGTGTTCAAGAAACAATCTGGTTTTAATGCACCATGGTTCTCACTGAGTGAGAGGAAAGTGGGTACATCGGGTGGCACAGTCAATATTTCTGTTTTGGTTTTTGTTTGTTTGAGACCAGGTTTCACTATGTAGCTCAGGCTGGCCTGGAACTCACCGTCTTTCTGCCTCAGCTTCCTGAGTGATGAGACTGCAGACTTGTACCACCCCGCTCAATCAATGTTTCTGAACTAGACAGGTAAGAATTACGGCTCTGCCACTTTCTAGACATATGACAGCAGGCAAGTCACCACTCAGTCTGAGCTTTCCTGGAAACTATCACCGCCTGCTCAAAACATACTGGACTAAAACTCTGAGCACAGCGAGGACCTTCAGATAACAGCATACGCATTAAATACTTAAGTGAAAAAAACAGGGCACATAATTATACAATCACAATTATTCATGAGGGATAAAGGAACCCTTCTCACTAGTAATGGTGGTTACTGGGTGGCAGGACAATTTTTCTGTTTTTGTTTGCTTGTTTGTTTTTGAGACGGGGTCTTAGTATGCAGTCCTGGTTGGTGTAGACCAGGTTGGCCCTTGAACTCAGAGATCTGCCTGTTTCTGCTTCTCGAGAGCTGTGACTAAAAGCTTGAGCCACCACGCCCAGCTAGGACAGAGTTTTTAATACAATACTCAAATTTTCTACAATAAACTCATTTGAATTTTCACCCTGAAAATATCTTTAAGCTCAGTATAGTGTCTCATTCCTACAACTCTAGCATCAGGGAGGCTGAGGCAGGAGGACTGTGGTAAATTTAAGATCAGTCTGAACTATAGTGTATGTTTTAGGTTTTTGAGACCTTGCCAGAAAAAAAAAAAGAGAGAAAGAAAAAAAAATAGGCCGAAAGAAAACGAAAAACCAAAAACTTTTTTTAAAATGATTTTATTTGCTTTGGTGCTTTGCCTGCGTGTATGTCTCTGTCAGGGTGTCAGATCTTGGCGTTATAGAGAGTTGTTAGCTGCCACGTGGTTTCTGGGAATGAACCCCAGCCCTCTGTAAGAGCAGTCAATGTCTTAACCACTGAGCCATCTCTCCAGTCCTGAAAACCCAAAAACCTTTAAAGATTTATAAGATGGAAAAAAAATGTCATTTAGAAGACATAAAAAAGCCAGGTATGGACTGGAGATCGTCCAGGGCTCATCTGGGAAGAGCACTGGCGTCTCTTGTAGAGGACCTGGGTCCGGTTCCCAGCACAAATTGGCTCCAACACCTACCTCTGCCCCCCTAGGGCTTATTCATACATGCACAGACACATACATAAATAAATAATTTTATTTTGTATTTGAAACCCCACATGTGATGACACATACCTGTATCTGGACACTTGGGAGGCAGGGCAGGATTAAATGTTAAAGACCAGCAGTATGGCTGGTCTACACAGTGAATTTGAAGGCAGTCAGGCTTGTAAAGCCAAGACTCTGACTCAAAACAAAAACAAATACAAAAAAAATCCCCAAGACCAATATAATAATATAAAAAGGGCCGGGCGGTGGTGGCGCACGCCTTTAATCCCAGCACTCGGGAGGCAGAGGCAGGTGGATCTCTGTGAGTTCGAGGCTAGCCTGGTCTACAAGAGCTAGTGCCAGGACAGGCTCCAAAGCTACAGAGAAACTCTGTCTCGGAAAAACTAAAAAAAATAAAAAATAAAAAAATAAAAAAATAAAAAAAAAATAATAATATAAAAAGGATCTATATTCTTAGAACACGGAACAAAACGTCTTCTTGCTACACATATATTTGACATAGCCTAATTATTTGCAAAGAATGGAGGAATGGAGGCAAAGGCAAGTGGATTTTGTAGTAGGTTTAAGTCCAGCCTGATCTACATATAAGTTGTAGGCCAGCCAGGGCAACAGTAAAATTCTGTCTCCGCCAAAAAGGGTGGGGGGATAGAGGGATGGCTCAGAGGCCAAGAGCACCCGCTGTCCAGAAGCTTAGGGCTTCATTCCCAGCACCCAGATGGGGGCCAGAGTCATCTGTAACTCCTATGCTGGTGGACCCGATGTCCTCCTCTAGCGTCTCAGGCAGCAGGTGCACACGGTGCACATATACACCGCAGGTAAAACATGCATACACATAAAAACAAATACATCTTAACAAGAACAGATGCCAAGCTCAAAGCTCTCTCTTCACCTACTTCCTGTCTTACCCCGTGAGTTTTCGATGTCAGGAGGACACAAGGAAGGAACAAAGAAGCTATAAATTAACCTAAACATGACTCAAATATTTATGTATTCATTAAAGTTTTACCTATTATCCATCTTAGAGTTCTAGGTGTTAATAGCAACTCTAAATGAAAGTCAAATACAAGCATTTACATAAAAGCATTAGAAGATGATTAATAGGCATTTCCACACAGCTGCAATCTAATCTGCACTTCTAGAGATGAAAAAAAGAACTAAAAACATTTACCTATGCTAATCCTCATGAAATTGCAGAAAGAACACCCTCCAGTTTTCCATGCACTCAACTGTGCTAACAGTGTTTTCGTTACTGAGGTCACACCCCACACTCCAGATTTGGACAAAGCATCACAATTGGGCACCCTTGAAAATCAGGCTGATTTCCATAATAATTCCTTGAATATTTATGTGTTGGGTTCCAGAAGAAGAGAGTGATTCGATCAACCCATGTTAACAAATTCCCATTTATGAGTTTTAGCGTTATATGGAAGGCATTTTCCAATTGCATGGGGCCTGAACTTGAGATACCCTAAGAAGTCGATGGACTTAGGTAGGAAATGTTTTTTTCAGAAAAGTGATTTATCTATGCTGACTGAAAGCTGGGCCACTGGCAGCTCAGATCCAGTTACGATTCCTAAAACACATCCAGGCTGGTTTTATCTGATGCCTCTGCAGGAATTGAGGCCACGCATTAATGCACTGAAGATAAAATCAATTTGAAAATTTCCTAAATCAAATACCAATCCTGGGGTAATACTCTATGTGCAGGAAAGGCAGCCAACAGAAATAAGAAGCCAATTATAAACTATAAACCACTCGGCTCAAATGTCCTGGTTTGTTACTGGCAAGGCCCATTACACACAGTTTGCACAAGTTGAAGCCACTGACAAGTCAGAATTGCTAACACATGCATATGCACAAGCATGCCAATCCTCTCCAGCCCCCGCACTGAATATAAGGATGCAGCTCAGTTAACAAGAGATCCTTTGCAATGTTCTATGCCCAAGAAATCCCCAGCAGATTGCTTCCCAGTCTACAAAGCGGTCCAGCTGGGCAGCAAAGGGCCCAGTTTAGTCAGTTCCAGGATTAGTATCCTGACCCTGCCAGGGCCTGCTCACTCTTTCTTTACTTTGTAGTCTCTCGCTTATAAATGGGACCGGCGGTGAGGCCTATGAAGACTAATTCCAACAGGTATGACAAACCCTAAGAACAGTAGAACTAGACAGATACTGGTAGTGTTAGTCCCTTGCTTTTCCCTATTTCTAACTCCCTACCTTTAAAACAAGGAGACACCAGTGCCAGTGTGCTACACCTGCCAGTGGCCTCTCGCAGGGCAGATGGCAGAGCTGCAAGCCTGAAGTATTCTAATTGCTTTCTGTCTATGTCATCTGTGGAGAGTGGAGACAGGTGGGCGTGGGAAAGGTTAACTACACCTTTCTATGGCCACCAGTTAACTCCTTGGACTGTTAACTGAGAATATACTGCTTGCCTTTCACACAGATCTACATTGTTGGTGAGAAGTGAATTTTTCTACCCTTGGCCTCTCTTGCTCCCTCGTTAAAGCTCGAAACTTGTCTTGGACCACGGCAGCCGGTCACTAGCCATTAGGATCCCTCAGCTTCTAGCCTCTCCAGTTCATTCTTATTTAGTTGGCTGACACATACCATATGCACAGTACAGATCAGTCACACCTTACAAATATAGCCTCTAACTCAAGGAGATTCTTACATAACCTTTTCTGTACAGAGATCTGACCTTGTAACTGTTGGGACTGCTGACCTTCAGTGGCTCTGCTCTGCAACCAGCAACACTCTGCAGGAAGAAGCTCCTATGCAGCTGGTGAGTGTGCTGGATGTCATTCTGATCCCGTGATCCCAGCCCCTTGGACGCTGAGACAGGAGGATTGGAAATTCCAGCCTAAACTAGCCATAATCTTGTCTCAAAAACAAAACTAGTAGTACAGACTTCTGACACCAACACTCAGGAGGTGGAGGCCGTAAGATTAGGAATTCAACGCCATTCTCCACCATTCACAGCCCATTCAAGGCCAGCCTGGGTGATATAAGACCCTGTCTCAAAAAATCAAAAGAAAAAAAAAAACCCAAAACAAAAAAAAAAAACTCCAAATGATATCAATGATATCTAGACATGAATATTTTTAATATAACACATGACTAAGCCTATCCCCTCAAGAAATACACTGCCCATTTACTGAGATGTCTGCCATAAATCACATCACAAACCACCTACGCAAATATACTCATTGGGTCTGCACTGCTGTGCCCACACAAACTGCCTGAAACACGGGCTCTTTCTGCAGTCCCTAGCCATCCACCTAACTTCACTGTAGTCACTGAAACACAGGCTCTTTCTGCAGTCCCTGGCCATCCACCTAACCTCACTGTAGTCACCGCTTACTATGCTCTCTGCTTTTCCTCCTGTTTTCCCAGCACTCATCACAACCTGAAAACTTATCCAGAACTGATCAGTTTGTCATGCTCCCCTCCATATTTTCAGTGCCTACAACGGGAGTAAACAGGTGGTGGGGCATCATTCTCCCTCTCAGAGGGGGTTCAGTGTCAGCACTCAACAAGCTGTTTAATCTCGAAACATGACAGGAGCTATGTAACCCAGGTTGGACCAAACTCAAGGCCTCCACCTTCCAAAGGCTGAAATTATAGGTGTATGCCACCACAATGAGCCCCTTAGTTATTAGGAAACCCCAGTAACATGTAGAAGAAGAAAAGCCACTGGGAGTTCTAGGTAAACCTGGGTTATATGGCCCAAAACAAAAAAATAAAATAAAATAAAAATAAAGAGCTGGCAAGATGGCTCAGAAGGTAAAAGTGGTTGGCATCATGCCCTGACAACCCCAATTCAATTCCTAGGACTCACATGGTGGGAGAACCAACTCTTGCAAGTTGTCCTCTGACTTCCACACAAATGCTGTAGAGTACACATGCACATACGTGTGTGCGTGCACGCGCGCGCGCACACACATACACACAAATGCAATTTTTTTTTTGATTTTTTGAGACAGGGTTTCTCTGTAGCTTTGGTGCCGGTCCCGGAACTAGCTCTTGTAGACCAGGCTGGCCTCGAGTTCCCAGAGATCCGCCTGCCTCTGCCTCCCGAGTGCTGGGATTAAAGGCGTGTGCCACCACCGCCCGGCAAAATTCTTAAATTAAGTTTCAAAGTCACACCTTTAATCCCAGTACTTACAAGGCAGAAGGCATTCAATGTCAGCCTTGTCTACCAAGTGAGCTCCAGGACAACCAGAGCTAGCTACATAGTGAGACTCCAGTTTGGACAGGGATAAAAAAGATGGTTTACAGTGAAGTATGATGGCACACACCTGTCACTGAGCACTATCACCAGGGTGGACACTCCAGGCCAGTCTGACCAGAGTGAAACCTTTCTACAAAACAAAGAGTGGAAGTTCTCATGCTATAGTTCTGTAGATCCCAGTGGAAACAAAGCCCAGGTGCTACAGCTCCTCCTTGGATCTTCCCTTGCTTTCTTTGGGCCCTAGGTACTGCCAGTAATGCTGGCTTGTGGCCTTCATCTTCAAAGCCAGCAATTGTCCTGATCAGCCAGGTCACCTAGGAGGTGCCTATTTTGACGACACAATCACATTCACCAACTCACCTCACCCTCAGGTTCATATTCATAGGGCCCAGGGACTTACGGTGTGTGCAACTTTGAGGGACCATTAGGTCAAAATGTCACTAATTCCATCATGTAGACATGCCCAAAGCTTGGAGAATCTATCATTGAACTAGGTACAACAGAGCTTCTGGCAATTCCACCAGGCGGTGGTGATACATGCCATTAATCCCAGCACTCAAAAGGCAGAGGCAGGCAGATCTCTGAGAGTTGGAGGACAACATGGTCTACAGAGCAAGCTCCAGGACAGCCAGAAATGTTAGAGAAATCCTGTCTCAACCACAACACCCCTCACCAGCCAAAAAAAAAAAAAAAAAAAAAAAAAAGAGGACAAATCCAGGGAGGTAAAAATCTTCACTGGGCACCAGCAAGTATAATGAATTCCTAACTGCCAGCACTTAAAAGGGGCAGGATGATAAAACCCCAAGATGAGACTAACCTCGTCTAAATAAAAAGGGGCAGGATGAAAAAAAAACCCCAAGATGAGACTAGCTTAGTCTAAATAAATTTTAGACCAGCTTAGACTAAAAAGACCCTGTCTCAAAACAAATTTAAAAAAAAAATCACAAAAGAAAATCTTTGCTGGACAGATTCAAGAGAATACAAGTTTGGTTTTACTGCAGTTAAGGAAGCTTGATGGTAGTGTTTGCCTAGCATGCTAAAAATCTTAAATCTAATTCCCAGTAAAAGGGATGGAGGGCAAGGGTGGAGGAGAAGGTAGGCATGGAATCAACCAGGTTTCTATCTTTTTACATGTATACAGCTGTACACAGGTAGCATAGCACGGGCTCCAAGAATCAAAACTGTCAGGCTTGGAAGCACTTGCCTGTAACTTGCTGGGCCATCCTGCTTGAGTTCCTCAAAAAGATGTTTCTCTTTTTCAGTTTTTCAAGACAGGATTTGTGTAGGCTTGGCTGTCCAGGGACTAGCTCTGTAGACCAGACTGGCCTCAAACTCACCTGCCTCTGCCTCCAGAAGACATGAACCAACACCTCCTGGCAGTTTTTTTTTTCTCCAATGATAGGGTCTCTCTACATATCCCTGATTATCCTGGAACTGACCAAGGAGGTCTTGAACTCACAGGGATCCGCCTGTCACCAGAAGCTGAAATTAAAGGAATGAGCAACCAGGTCCAGCTGATTTTTTTGTATGCAAAAAATAGCATGTTTATAGGTTGGTGGGAATGATCTAGAAAGAAAATGAAAAGGGCATCAGAGAAAGGAATTTAAATCTGAACCCTTTATTCAAATAAGGGATGAAGTCAAATAGATGAAAATGCTTCCCTTAAGCTTAAAAAACAAAAACAAAACCTGAGTGAGAGGGCTGGGCAGATACTTGGTGGTTAAGTGCTTTGCTGGTTCTGCAGAGGACACGGATTCTGGTTGGTTGTTTTTTTTTTTTTTTTTTTTTTTTTTTTAAGATTTTCGAGACAGGGTTTCTCCGTAGCTTTTTGGTTCCTGTCCTGGAACTAGCTCTTGTAGACCAGGCTGGCCTCGAACTCACAGAGATCCGCCTGCCTCTGCCTCCAGAGTGCTGGGATTAAAGGCATGCGCCACCACCGCCCAGCATAGGACACGGATTCTGGAAGCACCAGTTCCAGGAGATCAGATTTTCAGCTTCCTTGGACCCCAGAATACATGTGGTACACACAAACTGAAGCAGGCACACATATATGCACACTTTTTAAATCCTAAAAATAGTGTTTATAGAACAGACCCTTTAAGCAGGGGTCCAATGTGTTGGTATTAACAATTTAAGTGTCCACCATAGATGGGTGAGACGTGTGTCGGAGAGCTGTGAAGGTTTTTAGAGCTTTGGTTCAGTGTTGGCACACTAGCCAAGGCAATGTTTGCTTGTAGTTGTTTCAAAGCATCACGGTTGAGACTATGCAGCACTATCAGTGCTAACCTGGGACTTTAGACTGTTCTGCCTCTGCCTTCCATCTCTCCACAGAAGGGCTGGATTATAAATATCCAGCTCTTTAAGCGGCTCCAGGGATGAACTCAGCCTTTTTCCTGCTGAGCAGTCTTTCTGGCCCTTTGTTTCTAGGTTTAAAAACCAATAGGCTAAAAAGAGGGTGGGAAAAAGGCATTAAAGATATTGGGACCCTCCAAGAATAAAGAGTAAATCAGACAGATGTGGCAGGTCTGTGAGACAATGGCACGAGGCCACAAGACTTTAGACTCATCAGCATATTTAGCTGCACAATTTCAGAGATGGTGGAGTACTTGGCTTAACCACACATAGTACAGGCAGAATGACAAGGTGTAACAATTTCCTGTAGAGCTAAGAGCAATTATCACAACCAGCCACAGAATCCAAGGGGGCTAATACAGAGGACAAGGTTAACACTAAAATGTGGGACAAACAGCTTGTAGCTGACATAGCACAAAGCCATCCACAGCCAAGACAGGCTCTTGTCATGTAGCCCAGGGTAGCCTTGAATGCCCTGATGGATCCTTCATGCCCCTAGCCAGAGTGCTTAGATTACAGATAACCCCACACCC